ATAAAATGCTTTCAAACACTCTGATTATATGCTCTGCCTTGCCATAATCTGGATAATGTATAAAATGTAGTTCTGTAACGTGTTTAGGCTCGCAGATTAACCATAAAACCCAGTAAAAAAGTTACTCGGTGAGGCAAACAGTACGCCTGTCTCAAGGCAGAGGGCGCTAGTGAGCCCACAGATTCTTGCGCTACCTTCAATCTTCTTCGTGCTTGTTTATATTTCCTTTAGGATCCGCCTTATAAAAATGGAAGATTACATTTCCAAGATGAGAAAATTCGCAAATCAAACTTTCAATCAAACATTTTTGACAGTCTGGACATTTTTGTCCAGAAGGATCTTCTTTATTGAAAACATTTGTTTTAATATTGGATTCGAACGGTAAAAGGGTTTGTAATACATACCAGCTGACAAATGGATTTCGTGTACAAGTAAAGGTAAGACCATAAACTTTTATTATTTCTAGTTAGAAATAAGCTCAATTGGAATAAATTTTAACCTCAAATTAAATATGGGTCACGTTTGTGTGAAGAATGCTGATATGAGATATAAAACATAACGCATTGTCTGTTAACAGACAATTTGTTTTTGTAAATCTGACTGTAAAAGAGTCAGCGCCTCACCAGCTGTCAACCTCACCACACGTCACTGTCAATGACGCCCATGCAGTGTGTTGCTGGGTACATGGTGCATAACGTGCCATAAGCACTTGGTTATGGGGTACCCCGATATAGTCACAGTTTTAACCATGAAATCAAATATACTCTGAGTAATGACATACTGAGCCCATGACAGTATGCTTTGTACAATTTTTTTCACTATCCCTAATTTTAATCTCACATGCACCACTAATAAACATGATATGATCCTTAGCAACCATCTCTACCTCACCATCCTCCATTTTAATTACTTCATTGATCTCTTGTGTTGTAGGTTAGGTCTCTCATTTACAAAATTTCTCTTACTATAATTGAGATGAAATGATTAGTCGATTCTTCAGCTAGTAAAACCATTCTGCAACTTGATATTCAGTTAATCATAGTAAAACTTCTAGTTCCAGCTCCAAAATTTATTTATAAGATTTTGCTGTGCATATTATTGGTGACTGTATTGCTATTTAGCTAGGATAGACTGATTTCCATGCAATATTTTTATAGTTTATCAGTAAGCATATGCTTTTATCATGACTCCTCTAGTAACTTAGTACAGTGGGAATTTCTATCTAAGAGCCTTGTGCTAGTCAGTTTATTTTTATATACTGGACATTACAAATGAATCAGGCTTTGTCTGTGTCTTTCTTCAACAGAAAGTTCATGCCATGTTTGTTCCTGCTCTCAGTGGATAAAACATCTCTCCAATGAACACTTATCAAATCAAATGTTAATTGGCTCTGAAAAATCAACAGATATTAGTAAATAGATATTTTCCTGCCAGGTGATTAGCATTTAGCTTGATGTCATAATTGAAATGCTCTCCACAGTGTACTTTTACAGTATTAAGCCAGCAAATCCCTGAACTGTGGAGGGGCTCCATTTAAATTTTTTTTTTCTTTTTGCAAATATACTGTTAATTCATTGCTGCTTTTGTGCTCTTACTTTGCCAGATAGTATTGTTTTGAGCTGAATGCACCAAGAAAATAAGCCGAAAAGGCAAATTATCTAGTCAGCTCCCACAGCAACAGCCCTGGCAGCC